TAAATTGATCATTTAGATTCAATCTTAAACAAGGAAAAAGTTACATATGAAATGAACAATGCAAGAATAGGGCTTACTTTTTTCTTAGAAGATCCGTTAGGTCAATTCAGCTAATTGCAATCAAAGAAGTTTAAAGTGTCGTCACTTATAACCAAGTAATGACTAAGACCGTCGTAGCTTCATGTGATGATGTTAATCATGTTTGGGTGTGATGGTACTCAAACCCTCGGTGTACTTTGGGAAAAGCAATGGCTGAAATTGAGATCTACTAGCTGATAAAGCAATCATGATATGACTGTATCCCTGTTACATGAATGGTTTTGTTAAAACATGTCGAGTTCAATAAAGTTCATTAGTAATAAGTACAGGTTTTTAGAAGATTATGTGTATAGAAAAATGTTCGGCGCTGTTTTGAGAAGTTAACAGAAATTGTCGAGAAGAAGCAGCCAATTCCCTCAAGAGAATAATAAGATTAGATAAGAACGAGGAGCGATTCATTGCCTTATATTGATCCAAATTGCAGTAAAAACCTGTTTTCACTTGATTTCAACTTCATTAGGCTTTATTTTTTACCTCATCGATTCCAACTTTCAACCAGTATGAATTTTTATGACCTCTCATATATATTACCAAATTTAATTTTCCAGTACATAGAAAAATAAATAACCTTAGACAATGGTGATCAAATATCGCATATTTTCGTGTCGGTTGACGCCATAAAGACAGTAGTAAAATCGCATCGTGTATAAAGTGCAATAGGTTCCTCTGAAAGATGATTTATGGTGAAAAGTTGAAGTGCCTTCTATATGATATTTGATTATTTATAGCCTTCTATATTTCTATCATGATGAACGATCAGGTCAACGATCATTTCTCACAGAAATTTCTTACAGTAAAAGAACCTAATCTATTAAATAGATTTCTCTCCTTTTGTCACTGTCAAAAGTTTTTTGTTATGAATATTTCATGGCTAAGATCCAAATTAAATTTCTATTTTTACACCATTTTAAAGTTTTATCACCTTAATGTACAATATATTTTACAGATATATCAACAAACATCGGAATTCTTCAGACTCAACATAACTTCAGACTTACATAAAGCAAAACGCATTTGCAATATGATAAGAAAGCTCGATGGAATGCCATGGAAAAAGTGTAGTTGGTCGGATGAGACTGTTGTTAACCGAAACTTAGAAAGCGAAAGATTTTGGGCACTGTCTTAACTTAGTCGGGTTATAAGGCTAGTCTGGTATTCAGATTACCACGTTTTACTTGCAAATCTGGGATGTTGAGTCAGTATACTTTTGTAAAGTAGACGGCTTCCAAGAGTCAAAGAAAACGAAAACTATCTGGAACTGAATTTCTAAAGGGGCACGTTCATGTCATGTTTGAAATACCGGGATTGCAGTTACATATAACAATTATGTCGTAATAACACTATAGACAATATTACAAAAAGTGGAACATCTTGTTGAATATGACATAGATTCAGATCATCGTAGTGCATGTCAATACTAATGACGGCGTGAGGCAAAAACAACAATCATCTAAACTGACATCAAATTGACATTTCAAGTTTACTAACGTCATCACAATGACTTTCTTTTGTTTCCGATACTTTTATAAATGGAATATTACGTTTATGTTATACCTCCTATTTATAATGAGCAAAGAAGATAATAAGAATTGATAGAAACCATAACCAAAGTTGAAATAATGACATCTATCATTATATTTATATGGAAAGAATTATTCCACCCACGAATCGGAAGATGGTAGAAATAACAAGGAATACGGCTAATAAAGGGTATTAGGTGAAAGCCGACTTCCGTTCCGACAGGGCTATTCCACTGCCAAATACTTAGGGTAAATATATGTCCATATTTTAAACTGATTCTATGTATGCGTTATTTTGATACTTGCAGATTATCCTTTAGTCATCTGTTAGAGATGCTCTTAAGGTACACGGTAAAACGTCACCCCGTTACTGAAACACCCTAATGAGTTTGTCAGCTTGTGGATTTGACTGGAGTAAAAACTTATATAAAATATATGATATTTGATATTTTGGTATCCGGTTTTCTCTTGGCAATGATTTACAGAGATTTAAACAGATAACTAACTGTATCATAGACATTAAAGAGACGAGGAATTATGGCATTTATGGGGTCAATGTGAAGATGTTAATGCGACCATTGAAAGTCACCATGGGCTTCACCTATAATCTGGGAAAATGTACACAGAAATGTCATGAAGAGGTCGAGAAGTCCCGAGAGGAACTGGATAATAATGTGTCTAATATATCCATATACAATATGATCATTAAGTCTGAGAAAACTCACTCTTTATCTATGGATGTGGAAAGAAAAACGACCCAGAAAGGATTGACTTTGGTTAGATAATAAATATAATTGTATCCAGAAAAAACAAGAAATTTTATTTTAGCTGATATATTTATTTAGCGCAATGTTTTGTATGATTTGGGACCAGGAACACCATAACACCATAATATGTCACCAATGGTAACCAAACTCAGATTATCAGTCCCTGAAGACCGACGAAGGTCTTGGCTGTTGAAATATTTTCTTCAGCAGTGGCACTTGGACTTGCGTTTTATGGTCTGATGTCATCTTCAGTGGAAAATGAAATGAATGGAGTTTTACGTCCTACTTTTCTGGACCATGTGGGCTAATGAAGACGGGCAACGCCATGTAGGGTGCAATGAGGGAAATTTTGTCAGGACAGCGGCATTAGCCTGCTCTTTTTCGATTTCCAAGTGTCGAGGGATCTTTAACGTGCACAGCCTGTAGCACACGGGGCCTCGGTTTATTGTCCCATCCGAACGATTAGACGTTTTTTCCATGTCAGCCCCTCGTACCTGCATCACTGACAGAGGGAAACCGGGTTGAAAAATCCGAAGGTATTATCTCGACCTATGCCGGGATTGAACCCTGGACCTTCAGGTTAGCGAGCAAGAGTCTAACTCACTGAGCCACCGCGGCTCCCTCATCTTCAGTGGATAAACGTGGAACAGAACACGCGCGTTGACGGAAACCTGTCTGAAAACTTCTGCACTTTTAATGCCAATGATGAAACTTGTAAGAAACCTTTATATTGATGCATCGATTTTTAAAATCACCTCTTCTAGATCTACGTTGCTTGAGATAATATAGAAGTTGACAATGACAGTCTGTGATATTGTATACAGTAATTGACTAGAAGTGACAATAACCCAGGCTCAAGAGACTGTAGACATTCTAATTTGTAATGGTCAATTATACAGAATAAGTCGGAAACAGATGACAACAATTTGCTCATCATATATCAATATATTCTTCACAAATAGAATGGTAGGAAATGAGACGATGTCAACATTCCCAAGGGTTTCATCTCAATTTCTTTTAACGCCATAGACGCTAGTTCCGATATTGTATGGAAAGGAGGATCACTGGGTTAGAACCAGGAATAACGGCTACTGTTGAGAATGGGGGAGTGGGGGGGGGGGGGTGAAAATATGCATCGACATTGAGAGATATTGTATTGTTTATTTGAAATATAGATTAGACTTCTAAACTACAGTCAGAACTAAATGAATATAATAACTAAGAACGGGGTTTCTAGATGGCAAGAAACTACAGGTGACTACTCATGAATGATATAATGTTTTAATGAAGCGAAAGTTATTGTACTGATAATGACCTATATAAATATAAATTTTATAAACTAATTCAAATGTTGGTCATTTCAGGTGATTTAAAAGACTGAAACATATTGTTTCAGATGTTCGTATATAAGTAAGTTGTTTTAGAAAAGAATGGATTGGGATTTGTGTTAGTGTTTCTTAAAGGGGCATTCCTCTTTTTTTTGTAAAACATTTTCATTATCAAAAACGTCGTAAATTATATATGAAAACATTTCTTAAATATGCTATTTATATCTATGTATCTAATTGATCTAACTGAATTTGTTTTAAAAGGTTTAATTAAAAACGGGGAGTACTATTTATTAATCATGCTGTTTGACCTAGTATTGGTTTTGGCTTTATAATGACTATATTATTACTTGAAACATTAGAATAAGTAGGAGACATATTTCTCTAACATTAGGCGTTTATTTCACTTAAATCCGAACAGTAGTTTTCTAACCTCTTCCAAAAAGTATAACGAAATTTAAAAGGTTACGTTACCTTTTACGTAAAGTTTTGGCGTTAAAAAAAAGCGGCTGGATACTTTTTTAGTTAAAACTAAAATACGTAATGGGATAACTGTATAAATTTTTGTTTATAGTTTTTCACCAATTTGAGCAAAAAAAAAAGTTTAGACCTACAAAAATGCTGAATGCCCCTTTAACTGTATTGGGTGCAGACGTGTTTCATCTGTATCTGAACAATTTGAAATACCCAGCTTAATAATACTTAATAATATGTCCATGTATAAATAATAGTACTGCAATACAAACTGTGATTAAAATAATGAATCGAAAATATTGTATTGAAATACTTGTTACATGTAAATATGTAAATGTGGTTATTTTATCGGTTAACTGTCATCACAAACCACCAATATCGTAAAATAACTTACCTGGGGATAAAGTTGTCAAAGGTCTCCACGGGTTACCTGTAATAAAGTATAGAAAATACCGAGTACAAAAAAGGTGGGTTTCATACAAAGGGAACTAACCACGGTAAATATCAATAATCAACACATAAATAAAAGGAAAATATGTCGGAACATATTAAAACGGTTACAATTAAAAACAAACGATCCACTATATTGATGTAGGATTGGAGTGTGGTTTATAATACTTCTTTCATCTCAGAGTAAAATAAACTGTTCTTATTCGTTTTGAATCACATCAGGTCGTGCATTTAAAAATTTGCTCGTCTATATTGATGCAGTACAAAGTGCGGAAAACACATAATGCTATAAGTTCCGTCCCCTGAATGATCTCAAAAGCTTAACAAGAATTTGATCGTACCTGAGCCATTTTGCATGTCACCACGTTGTGAAGGAGGTGTTGGGTGTATATTTGTTATAAATTGATATGTTGCTGAAAAACCTTTCATCGAGTTCCGATCATCGGAATAAAATTCTATAAATAAATATCTGCCTGATGACAGCAATTCTACTTGATTGTGAATATCACAGTAATGACCAATGACGATACCACTGACATCACGACCATCATGCACGACCACTGCATCTGGACTATCACGACAACTGAAAAATAAAATCATGATTACCAGTTGAGTGAAATTATCGCTTTTTGTGGTAAGGCTATCAGGCTACTTGAGATTTTAGCATTCTAAGGGGAATAACTACACTTACAGTAACAATATTTCAACAAGAAGAGAAATAAATTGAGTGGCTTGACGTCTATGACTTTTCGAGTGGTGAAAATTTCAACCTTGTCACTAATCATCACGTAGCAAACTGCCAAATGTGCTTCTAGTTGACTAATATTGGCTATATGGCAACGGCTTTAGCAAACACTCTTGGAAATAGGTACATAGACGATGCTATTAGTATAAAGCAAAGCGTTATACAGGCTAATATTTATTATTCTTTTCAAATATGTATACTTTACCTTCCCCATCCATAGCTGTGAGGAAAATTAAATAATATTTCTTATTAAATAATTAAAAATCAAATCATCAAGTAAACTTATCACAGAGTAATTATTATATGTCAAAAATTGAAAATGATACACATTACACTAGTAATGATTTGGCTGTTTTGTGTTGTTCTTTTTTAAAGTATGGCGGGGTCTGAAAGCTTTATTCCAAGAACTGGTTAGAACAGTAGCGAAGGCTATTATTTAATCGAAAATTACGGAAAATTTCAAACAAACAGCGTAAATGCTTCTTATTCAGTCTTTTGTTGCAATACAATGATTCGTGCCTGTAGAAGGAAAAGTGACATCACTCACCTAACATCTTCATGATGAAGTTGAATATTTTGAAAAAAAATCTGTACACGTTCCCCAGGTAACGCTTCAAAATAATACAAACATTTTGCATTATCCGGGTATGGTTGTGGATATTTAGGCGAGAAAAATCGTCCTGTTTTATTATATGTATTGCTAGTAAAATAATATGTACATTGTGAACCAGAAACTTGATTCCCAGTTGGCTCATATTCTCCTGAAATTAGATAATCAAATATTATTCATTAATATTCCTTTTTTGATATGGTTCTTTTGACCTTCTTCACGAAAGATTTAGGTTGGCGGGGTTTTCCTATAAGCTCCAACGTCAGTATCTATATTTCCGGACTCTAGATGCTTTTGAAAGATTAAATAAGTTCTGGGTAATTTTGACCTTCCATCAAACGCTTTTGCAACATAAAGAACAGAATCGAAAACCTAGTAGTTTCTTTCGGAAATGTGACTTACTCTAACGTGTCTTTTTTATTTTATTTAAACACATTTTCGGCGTATTTTCGATCTGGGTGTACCCAAATCGCTTGTGTAATTGGTACATCAAGAGTTATGTCCCTTCAATGACGTTGTAGCTTCAGTTGCTCATCTTTTCCCGGGTGGAAGGGAAATAACTATTGGTGTTTCTAAACAAAATAATTAGCTGGAGAATGTCCCGAGAAATACACAAGAATCACTTCTAGGTGAAAGAAAACACGTATGAATAACAGTTTATATATTTTGAAAACATGCCATTTAGAGTCAAAGAAAACACCACAGTAAACAGTTTGAAGAAAGTTGCGAAATAAAATGTAAGACGGGTGCTGTTTTTGTTGACAATGCAAGTGGAAGGCCTTTAAGACTTAAATTTATAGATATGTGTCAATGCCAATAAGTCAATGTCAGATTTTAAATCGCGATCATAAAACAATTCAGCAGCGTCAAAAAAGTTATGAAGTTGTGAAGTATTCCTTAATTTAGCCAATAAAAGGCAAGTAGCATAATCTTAAAGTTTTTAGATATCATTCCGAATCAAAGAACAAGAACAGATCGAAAACAGATTATTTTAGATCCGGAGAATACGTTAAGCAGAACATTTAGAAGATACCATTAAAAAAAGTCCCAATTGAATTTTGAATTGCTGATAGATTTAAATGAAATCGTACAAAGAGAGTACGTTTAGAGTACGTTTATTTTTACCGATGGGTCGAAGTACACTGTATAAGTGCATACCAATTGGGCCATCTTGGCTTTCTATAGAAGCTGAAAATAACATATTTTAGATATTGCGTAAACTCGTGGAACTTACCGAGTACTTCAGTGCCTAATATAATCTTAATATTTTTCAAGGGAAGGCTAAGATATTTAAAGCATCTCATTGTATCCGTTGCTATCGACAATATTACAAAGCGGTTTCTGTAATTTTTCAGATTCTCCCAGAAGCTATCCATTGCCAGAAATGTTTGAACATACAGTTGCCCTCAGATTCTGCCAAGCGCAAGGTCTTCATTATGCCCTAATGACACTGACAATGACACTGACACTGTATTTACTCTACGGTAGGTACTGCCAACAACTAACGCCATAACAGACAATACAATTTGTATATTAGAAACCGTCAAAATCATTTGCGTCTTGTAGTCCGATTTCGTGAGTCTACCCAATCAAATAGACCTTCACTGCTGGTTTCATCTTTTCTGTGTATATACAACGTTTCTTCATTACTGCTTGCTTGGCATTTCGTCAGCAACTCATATTAGCATAATCTTTAACAATAACAAAAGATACTTACGTTTATTTCTAAAATGAAATAAGCCTTGAAAACCAGTATAATTTCCTCCTGGCAAGCCATCGGCATGGAATTCTAAAACTAAGCTGCGACTTTTAGAATAAAAGTTTTTTTCAATCATACTAATATTTCCACATAGTTCATGATCATGTTTACTATATTCATTCACTTCTGGTCGGTTTAAATTTTGAAAAACACGCACAAAATCAGAACACCTGAAAGATAAGAATGGTATAATAAAAACATTTTACATGGTTCGAAATGTTGTTTTTGTTTTGAATGGTGAAAATGTCTTTCAATTTAACATCAGTTTGGATCTGAATATGCTGGTAGAGGATTCAAAGCAAGAAACTGTAATGTTATTTTATTGTTGTCTCCCCTTACATTGAAATTTTACAATTGTTGAAAGTCGATTGAGGTTAATTCAATCCACGAAATAGCGATATTGTCGGGTCGTGTTGACGTATATTCGAAGACAGGCTAATAAGTAATCACAGTGAACACTTTTAACGAACGTTTCCTTTTCATCGTTAAACATTTATTAACTTTACTATGAAATGAATTTGGTTATCTACTAACTAATGGCCAATGGCGAATGCAATAAGAAAAGGTAAAGGTATTGAGTTTTATGCCACTGATGGATTGAGAGGGGGGCAGTTGTATAATTGTATTTCACTCTATTTCATTATCATCCAGATAGAATGATGGTGTCAATAATATTTGATTATTTGCATACATGTCCCAAAGTGAATGTCAAATGTCACCAATGAGCCAAGAAATCATATCTCACAACGATACCTTGTTTCATATACCTAGCTATTTGTTAATGCAAAAGAAAAATGGTACACACGCCCTTCGTGTAAAGGATAGACTCGAAATCAATTCGGTCGACACTGAAGCACTTGGTTAAGATAGTGTTCAGTTTATTACAGAAGCACTTTTAGTTCAATTGATTGAACTAAAACCATATAGTGACATTTAGAGACGAACTTCGTCTTTAATGTAGACCATTTCAATGGATGATATGAAGTAAAGGACTCGTAAAGAAAGAATATTGTTTATAACATTAAGGGTATTACGAGTCTCAAATGGTTAATAATCAAACTATTCCCAACCTGAGCCTCATTTCTTAAAACAATGAAATTAAGAATATCATCTATTGTCTGTCATAAAAAGTTGGTATTGAGTATAAAGTAATATAGAAAGGAGACGACTATAAAATGACCTAATGATACCAGAAGGAATTCTTGTCCAGACCAATCTCAATTTCAACTTGCTAAATATCTTACAATTTCACTCCACCTGCAAGTTTTCACGTTAAATTAAAATCTTTCACAATTTCTGCCTCAGTCATAATATGCAGTTTAAAGAAAATGAACAGCATTGACCAGAATTATACGGACACATTCATCAACATGTCACAAAATTCCAACGAAGCCACCAAAGCACGCATATGCGAATTTAAACTACTTAACATAATTTCAATGAAGCCACCCAAAAATTTTCACAAGCAATTCTAACAAAATCAAGGGCGATAATGTAAGTGCTGCTCGAAAGAAAAACGTAAAATAACACAATACATCAAATAGTAATGTGAGCTTATAAGCCTTGTGTCATATTTCACAAAATATGGTTGTATACATGTATATTATATTTTGTGATTTTTAAAAGAATAGGTCATATTCTGTCCTACTGCCATTTTTCTCAATAACCTTAATATTCTTAGACTTTTGAAAGAATAGATCATATTTTACCTTAACTCTTGATATTTCAAAAGTTGATGATATAGTTGAGACAGCTGGGCATTCTAAACGATATTGCCAAAGGTCATAATGAAAGTAGAATGAAAATTGTGACATTTGATTTATTTTGAAATACTTGTAATTTGTTTAATACAGAAAAAAATCTACGCCTTTTCTGTCATGAAATAAATCACTCATTTATGAAGTATGATTCCAAATTCGTCCACACGTAATATTTATCTGCGGAAGAAATGTTACAGAATAAAATAGATTTCAAAAAGGAGTTAGCAGGAAAATGATTCTAAAAATTAAAATTAAGCAATATCATATTATTTATAAAATGCTGTTTAAATAGTAAATTACCCATAATTTAAAAGATTTGTTGTAAATTGCACATAATTGGAAATGTAAATGAAAAGGTTATTTCACATGAATGTATATTCCTCTTCAATAAAATATAATCAAAAAGTAATTGAAGGTTGTGTCTGACAGCTAATATTGACAACTTCATTTCATTCTCCCCGCTTCCTTATATTCAAACAGATCTCACCAATTTATTAGCCCTGATTTATGGTTTCCAAGCTTCAAAGCAAATTGACATAACCTTACAAATGAAGGACATCAGGGTCTAATCACAAACATGGTCTATGATTAATGGATAATTTACCATGATAAACACCACATCTTCAGTTTCTTGATTGCAAGTAGACAATTTCAAATAGTTTGTCCCCGGTTCAATGAAGAAATATGTTTCAGAAGAGGTAACGATTGTTTTTGAATGCCAATTATTTGGTGGTTTATCCTGAAAGTAGTCGTTTCCTGTAGCCTACAGGAGATGTTTATAATTCGACAGTGGTTTATTTTCGATTTGCCTATTTCAAAATTTTGATTTTCATCATTAAGTAATTTTTTAACCAAATACTAAGGGCCGTATGCTGCGGTCGAACTTTAGTCATATTTTACTCAAAGTCGAGCTTAAGTCAGACTTTAGGTATGCTGCGCTCGATCTTTGATGTAAGTCATGCTTTACTCGGGCGTTTTGTGGACAAAACTAAAGTAAAGTCTAAGATAGGGTGGTAGCAGACTTAAGCCGTACTTTATATACATTTGCGATTGAAATTGTGACAATGGAAGATTATTTCAACCAATTACACCATAGATATTATAGATATTTACCATGTGGAGAGGAGATTTAAAGACCGCTCAAATCCAATGGAAGATCTAGATGAGAGTGAATTTACGAAACGCTTCAGATTTCCAAAGGATGGCGTTCTGCATATTTTTGAAATGATTTCAATCATCGATGTGACCAAACTGTACATATCCCACCATTACTACAGTTATTGGTATGTCTTCGTCGGTATGCTAGTGGCTCTTTCCAAATAAACGTGGGGGATATAATGGGCGTTCATCAATCCAGTGTCTCCCGAATAGTGAAATTTGTATCAAGGGCTATAGCTAATCATAGTCTCGAGGTTATTACGTTTCCAGATGAAAATGAAATAAAAGCAATACAACGAGGTTTTTACGACATTGCGCAGTTTTCGGGGATAATTTGAACAATTGGCTGTACACATGGAACCCGTGATGATTTCTGTGTTGGAATTGTATTTGTATCTGGACACAATGTTCCACTGGTAACAGTGGCTGATGCTGA